TCGTTTTTTTTTTTGGGGGGGGTAGAAAAAGTTTTTTTTTTTTTTTTTTGATTTTTTTTTTGGGGGTGCGAAATTGCACCGACCGGACGTTGGAGCTAGCGACCCCCGAAAGTCGGCGCGTTGGGCTGGGCGAGGTACTGGTGGTTTAAATTGAATAATTTAATATCATAAGCATTTATCCTTCCAGTGAGCAGTTATCTTCTTTTGTTCTGATGTTTCCCCAAGGAACCCGAGGTCAAAACCAGCATGTCAAAGTCTTAGGGCTGTAGCTCTTGGCCAAACCAATGTTCCAGGGTGAAAAGCCGGTTCTAGACCCCTAGATGGCCTCAGAAAGACCTTAGGTCAGTAGGCCTGGGTTCTAGGCCCTGTAGGGTCAAATCAACCCTCCTGGTCTGACCGATTGGCGTTACCATGAGTGGAGGAACTGTGCTTTGTTTCTGAAGGTTGGCATCACCTTGACGGGTGTTATTCTCCATTTCGCCATAGCCATAGTGTATTGGAGAGTGACTGCGCATATCTGCAAAGTGTTGGGAAAAGAGATGCTGGCCTTATCGTTGGTAGATAGAAAGGTTGATGACTGCTGAAGTGGCGGGAAGAGAGAGAAGTGCCCACAGAGAGGAGTGGGAAGGCGAGAAAGAGATTGTATCAATGGACTATTTCGGAATTTCCTGAGTTTATCCTCCTCCAAAGCTTCTCCTTCCTTTGTCTTGAGGCTGGTCTTAATGCTACCTCTTTGCGATTGTCATCCACGGAGTATCGTTTCATGTATGATGTTGATGGGGTAAGCTTCTCAGACTTGGGTGCTTGTTGCATTTCTGTTGTGTTGTTTTCTTGGGGATGTGACAGGTATGACACTTACGCTGGCTTCTGGGGAGTGATGGGAGGGCCTTGCCTGGGGATGATACCGCCTAATGTATCAGAATTTTCATCAGGTGACATGCTGCCACATGTGTCCTCAGGTGACACAGGGGTGATTGTAAATGGAAGAGAGCTTCACCGTGATGACCTTGCAAAACTGAAATCAAGAGGACTTCCGTCAACTCCTGGGAAGAGCTATATAATTGACAATCTGGGGAACGTTTGGGATGGTTTGACACACAACCAGCTGAAAGGGCTAGGCAAGTTGGCTCCCAGGTATGATTTAGACAGTGGACTGGAATTTCTAATTTTTTCCCTTGTCCCTTTGTGGGGATAATTAATGTCTGCTTGTTGCATGAATTATGTCATAGGGTTTGAAAAACGTTTTCATTACCCTGCACCGTTATTGCCCTTATTTACAGGCACAATACGAGACGAAAACAAAATTTCTAGGTGTCCGGTGTGCACTTTTTACCCTGCAGGTGTATTGTCTTAATTTAACAGGCACAACACAGGAGGAAAATGAACTTTTGTGGAAGCCTAGGTGCATGCAGGAATTTTCATGTTAACCGCAGACCCGCACACCAGACCAATCCAGACAGGAAACCAGACATACATCTGGATTGGTCCAGACGTCTGGAAATCTGGACAGGTACCAGACATCCGGACAGTACCAGAACTGGACCGTTCGGATTGGTTCTCGGGACCCAAAAAATGTCTGGATCTCGATTTAAAAAGAAAAAAAGAAAAAGGGCATACAGAAAAAATACTGCAGAATCAGGGACACTGCAAGGAAAATGAGCAAAGCATTCCATTGTAATAAAACCTGTTCAGATCGGCACAAGGCCAGAAATAGGGGTCAAAAGTCACGTCCCTAGCCTGAGAAATGTCTGAGAAAGTGCCTAGGGTCAAGGGATACCAAGATCTGAGTCAAAAGCTGTGTCCAGTACTCTGACGTAAGACAGTTGATTCTTGAAAAATCAAGAGTCAACCCAAGCATGGCATTCCAGGCCCAAAGTCAAAGTCAACCCGTTGGTCAGCCATGGCCATCGATCAGATGCACATCAGTGGTTGTCTGCAGGTATCCAGAAGATTCCAGTCCAAGTGGGACGCAAGGGAAAGCTGGGACTGCGCTGCATCCAGGCCATTGGCTTTCGGATCATCTGGGCCGTCGACCCAAGGAGACTGGAGGCTGGTCAACGTGAGTCAACACTATATAGAGTTGACCTAGCCACTGTGGAGACCATTCTGCCTTGCGCTGTCTTGATGCTAGTACGATATCGTGAGGCTGCTGGAGTATGCTGGCGCCAGTGCTGCTGGGTGGGCGCCAGCATCAGGGAAGATTATGTCGGAGCGGCCATTGCCGCCATAGCTAGAGACATTGGTGTTGAGGATTGGGCGAGGAGGAGGAGGATCGGGACTGTGAGACTGGAGAGGGTTTGAGGGGAAGCTTACCTGGACTTAGCTGGCGACGCCGTGTGTGATCTGTTGCTTGTCTCCACGAAGATGAGGAAGACCTGCGCCATCCTCCCTGATTGGCTGCTGATGTGGTTTGAGGATGGGCGTCCGGCTGTGACCTGCACACTGTATCTGTCAGAGAACGTCAGAGAGGGACTGCATTGCTGAGGTGGCGACATGGGGTTATTGCCCAGGAGGACGTGGGCAGTGTTACATGCTGCGCCTGCAACAGGCTGCACGGGCCATTTTCAGGCCCGTGTCGTTTTCAGCCTGAATGCCTGAAAACAAGGGCCTGCAGGCCCTGTGTCGTTTCAGCCTGAAAGCCTGAAAACAAGGGCCTACAGGCCCTGTGTCGTTTCAGCCTAAAACAGGGCTCTCCAGGCCCTGAGTCTTTTCAGCCTGAAACGGAGGGTGTTACGATCCTGGTCATTTCCCAAGTGCAAATTCACAATGAAAGACAATGCCACCCAATTGCGAAAGAAATGAAAGCACTTGCAAAGAGATAAAGACCAGAGGAGACAGAAAGAAGAAGAAGAAGAAGAAGAAGTACACCAGCAAGACCAATGACAATTCCCCCTTCTCTCTCCACCTTCCTCCTCCTCCTTCAATCCACCGATCTTATTCTTCTCTCAACGATAATAATAACAATGAATGGATGAACAAGAATCAGTATCCGAAGTTCCCTCTTACTGCTGACTCAACACAACACAACAACAACAGCAACAAGTCCACCATAGCTATGGCTTCCCTCCTTCAGCCTCCTCTCTCATGCATAGGCTATGGCGGACTACCCAAAGCAGCTATGGTGCTGCGCTGACGTCCAAAGGACAACCCAAAGCAGCTATGGTGCTGCGCTGATGTGCAAAGGACAACCCAAAGCAGCTATGCCTCTGCTGACTTGGTCCGCCATGCCTGACTCTGCCTCGAGCTTCCCTGGTGTGGCGCTACCCCAACTGGGGCCTTCCAGATGCAGCGCCCCACAAGGTGTTGAAGACGGTGTCCACCATAGCCAGGTAGGTGCCTCGCCACTCTCCTAGCTCACCCCCTTCTTCCTCCTCCTCAAGCTGGACTGCTCGCCATAGCCAGGCTGAGCTCCAGCGACCCTTCACCTCCAAGCAGCGCTGTCTCCTCCAGCGCTGTGCTCCAGCAGCATGTCGCCAATCCTTGCACACGGCAAATGAGGAAGAGCTCGTTGCTCTTCCTGGAGATATAGCGGCCTACCGGCCTCCTGGGCGGTGACTTCCTAGGCCGAGCGGCCTCCCAGCAACCGGTACCTCCTCCCTTTCGGAGGGAAACATCATTGCAGGCTCTGCTATCCTCCGTGCAGGCCCTAGACCCGGGCTACTTGGACTGGTACCGGCCTACCGCTATCCTACCGCTACTGGGCCTCTAAAAATGCCAACTTTTTGTCTTCTTCTGCTCGGCCTCCAGTACCCGACACTCCTACCACTACTTGAGTGGTACCGGCCTACCTACTAGAGTGTTTTTCCCCGCTGTTCTAAGTGTTGCGGGCCTACCCTCGCTACTTGAGTGTTTTCCCCCCTGCAAAGTCACGGCCACAGGTAAGTACCGGCCCTGCGGGGCCCTTCAACCAACAAGTACCCTTGCGGGTCATACACACACTCAACCGACAAGCACTCAGACAGGCATGCAAACCAGCAGGCACGCACACACACAGACATGGAAATCACAGCAGAATGCGGGAATTTCAGCAAGGCATTCATTCCAGCACAAATCCTAGAAATCAGCAGTGTTCTCAGTCTGTGTTTTTGGCGGGTCATTACACTACCCCCCTCTCAAGAGCGAGGTCCCTTCGAGGGAGTAACTCGTTCAGAGTTGGCACAAAATGCATCATAAGAGTAAATCAGAAAGAGAGACTTAGTAAGTCCGTGAGGAGTCATTGTTGCAACAAATTTAGCAGTCTGTCCCTCATGATTTGTCGTTCATAAGCGTTCACTACACGGGGAGCATTCTTTAGCAGCTCTTTTCGGTCGATCCAGAAGAATTCAGTCAACGGGTGATAGAGGAAGTGAACCTTGTACTGTTTGTTCCTCCCTCTTCCCTCGTGAGAAACGATTCTGTCTATCTCATGGCCGCCGTCGATAGAGCGAGGTATCATAGGGTCTCAGAAGGGAAAAGTCTCATCATCAATGTGTGGGAGCAGTTTGGACGCATGAAAGACCAGATACGTGCGCAGATGAAGGCACGTCAATCACATGGACCAAAATCACCCCCAATCACCTTCAGAATCTGCCAAGGGCCATAATACAATGGAAGAAGCTTTCGTGATACGCCCTCTTCATCATAAAACTCAGACATTTTGACCCAAACATAAATCCTACTTTGAATTTTGCTTCTTTGCACAACTTGTTAGCATGTTTGATCATGGCATGCTGGCGCTTGTTCAAGGCTGCAATAACAGCTTTTAGCAAGCGTGCGTACTTGGCATTGTAGCCAAGCATGTCGGGCATCAGACCAGGTGACCGTTCGGGGAACAGATAGGAGAGGGGATTATGCATCGACCATCCATATTGCAACTGGTTTGGTGTCACACCAGTTGCAGAATGAATGGAGTTGTTGTGCAGTCCCTTCACTTTGTGCAACTCCTTGTCCCACGTGTTCTGATCTGGAACAGTCAATGCGCGGAGTAGTTGGATGACAGTCTGGTTGATCTCCTGAGCCAGTCCATTGGCTTCGGGGTGTCGATCAGAAGTCTTGTTGAGTTTAATGTCGTAGATCTGAGAAGTGAAGTCCTTCCAGTCTTTACTAATTAATCGGGTGTCCCGATCACTCACAATGGTTTTCAGTTGGCTATACTGCAAAATATACTGCTGATGGAACTCTTCGATGACAAGTTCAGTTGGGGCATGGGGAGGGAAAGGAATCAAGTTCAGAAATTTGGAGAAACGGTCCACGATGACCATGACTTGTGAATTTCCTGCCTCACTCACCTTTCCCATGTCCGTGAAGTCGATGGAAATCGACTCACCGGGTCCATCAGGAATGGGGAGGGGTCTCAGCAGGCCATAAGGCTTATGCCTGTGGACCTTGATTCTTTGACATACTTGACATTCCGCAATGAATTTCTGAGCATATCCTTTCATTCCTGGCCAATCAAACTGCTGCAGAAGACTTCCATAAGTCTTCTCAAAGTCGAAATGTCCACTCCGACCATGTGCCAAATGGCCCAAATCCAAGAAATGAGTTCGGAGAGGCGCATGGTTGGGTACAAACAAGCGATCAAACTTCCCTCACTGGCGGAATACAAGGCCCTCGCACTCATGAAAATCAGGCTGACTGTTAGGGTCAGCCTTGAGCTGCTCAAGGATGGGATTGAGGTCCGGATCCTTGGCGGTGTGTTCGACCAGATCCTCCTTCAGTTTCCTTCGGAGGTCATACGAACCCACAAGGCAAGTCAAAAATTCAGGATGGCGGGACAACGCATCAGCAACCCGGATATAACAGCCTTTCTTGTGTTTCAACTCAAAGCTATAGACATCAATGTCATGCAGCCAGCGGGTAAGTGTAGGAGAGATATCAGTTTGTGTCTGAATCCACTGCAAGGTCTGATGATCTGAGTAGACCTTGAAGTGACAACCCAAGAGGTAGTGCTTCCAATGTGCGAGTGCCTCGCGCAGGGCGTAGAGCTCACGCATATATGTGGAAGTAGCTACCTTGTGGCTGGGCATGCGTTTGCTGTAATACTCGAGCGGACGCAGGCCATCACCATCATCTTGTTGCAGCATTGCTCCAATCCCAAACTGGCTCGCGTCCGTAGTGACTACGAACGTGAGGTTGGGATCCACAACGCGGAGCAC